ACCTACACTCAGGAATTACACTGAGTCTAATGAATATACATCACACATGTACACCACCGATAGTTGCACAGACATAGACTTTTTATCATAAATTAATCATATTTCTTGCCTCATTTATTATTTTTTCGTTTACTTATGCTAACACAAAATAAAAGAAAAATTCGTTTTTTTCGGTAAAAACAATATAGAATGTAGTTTATGCATAAATATCCTACATTGGTATACTCATCAAGAACCAAAGATAATTTCACAATAATTTCGAAAAAGAAAGAATTCAAAGATGAAGAATTGTAAATAAATAAATATAGAAAAACATATTTCTATTGTTTCCTGCACAAATCGTTCAGTAGATCTTAAATCTGATTTGAAGAGATTTGGACTTCTCCGTCTTGTCTGAAAATTCAAGTTCTACACCGTTGAATTTATTGAATGTTTGTAGTGCCCGAAATGTGAATTTTTCTAACAATTTTTCGATAATAATCCCCTGGCTGTTTCGTTGTCAGATGCACTTGTTCTCTCTAAATTAGTTTCTTTACGTATGATAATGAAGAATAGCTACATTACTTCGTTACCACAGTGAAGAAACGTTTGTCCTACAATTCTACTTATTGTACAACGCTAACCATTTCTATTGTTAAGAAACTACAAGAATAAGATTTCCGATAACGGAGTTACGCAGGCGTATCGCAGCATCATGGACATATGTAGTTCATCTCAACTTAGTTTCTTGCATATCTGATTGGCATTTCATTTTCAAAAAAAATGTACACACCAATCACATTCGTAAGTAATCAAATTAAGATGAGATATTGAGGTGAACGTGACTCTAAGTATGTAATTGGCCCAGAGAACAAATATCCTATGTTCGAATTACACTGTGAATACTCAAGATCCTGTACACAATGTTATTTGTCACGATAAATATCTTTTTCACCGTATCCTATGGTACGCGAATATATTTATATTATTATATAGGCAAAAGTTTCTATTATTTCTAAGTTTAATTACTTTAAGCTCTAACGAACAAATCTTTCTCAGAGAGACTAGCTGGGCTGAAAAGTTCGGTCATTACACATTCAGGCGTCACGTATCAACCTTAAACAAACAACTTTTGAGAACTAATTGAACCAAAATTCTTTCATATGTCACCGAGATCTGTACATGTTCTTCAAAAATTAGAATTCTACAATGCGCCGTTATTAAACAATTCTGAAAGAGATGAAGGGGGAGGAGAGAATGTCGTTTATAAATATTATAAATAACCGTTGATACATATCAGAGGCCGAAATAAATCGAAAAATTCAGCATTCGGTTCGATTCGATCTTTAACTGAATCGAATCGAACTAGGAAACGTAGTTAAAGAGCATAGTGTCCTTTGATCATCAATGTAAAAAGATCTTTTGCTGTCTTCTTGATTGGTGTAAAAAAATGAAAAACTGTTTCTAAATTTGGTTCGTCTAATGAAACGATATTTCTGACTCCTTGTAGCTCAATTTTGGTCGAACGAGAATTCAGCGCCACTGATCAGAATGTTAACCACCGTTGTTCAAGTTTACTTAGATCCATCGATAGTGAATTATTTTTACATTCAATAGAAAATAATAAATGAAAGACTAATTCTATCAACAAGATATTTCTTATGAATATTCTTTTTCTTTGTTTTGCTTTAATCCATGTTTCCAAGTTCTGGTCACAGAGATGGTAAGTTCACTCAAGTGTTCTAACTTGAAAGAATATATTCTGAACAAATGTTTCACACAAAAAAAAGAGAATACAAAGCTTCCATTTTGACTGAATTAAGTCGAATCGAACCGATTCAACATTTGAAAATGTCATCCGGATCGAATCGAGTTACATTTTCCTGATTCGTTTCGAACACTAATACATATCTAAATCGATTTGATGCTAAAATATTGGTCACTAACACTGATCGATCTCCATCCTTTCTATGTTGATTTCAAAATCAACAGAATTGATTAACGTTTATTCCATCTATAACAAAACACACTTACATAATTATGTCAAAATTGATTAAGTACAAAATTGAATGATAATTATTTTTAGTACATGCTCTTTGCACTTTTATTTCATACCACATATAATATTTTCTTCCTTATTTTAGAATATGTGTCCATGCGATTTATTTGTATATTGTAAAATTATTTTAGACAGCGATCAAAACGCCATAGGTAATTTAGAACTATAATTAGGGACAATTTTTAATCAATTGTGTTATGTGATATCATCTATTTATACGACTATCACATCATAAAAATATGAAAGTGTTGCTCTTTTTTTATTCCCCTTCTTCGTCTTTAGGTGATAGTCAGTAAATTATAACAATAATCATAAACGGTTTCTAAAAGGAAAAAAAATTTATCAACCTGAACGATACATCCGTAAGGAGTTAAAAAAAAGAATAAAAAAAGAAAAAAAGAAAAAGACAAACTTCTCTTAAATTTCCATCTCATAAACTACTAAAAATTAGAACAGATAAATCAAGATACAATCCGAGACATTGTTATTCTTCATAAACTGAACAATAACTTGTTTTAAACTCATTTTCAATGTTTCTAAGAACCAATTTTATTTAAGTTAATTTCACAGATACTCAAACTGTTTTGTTTTTGTTTCTATTAATTATTTGTGAACTCTTTAATACAAATCGATTTGTGATATTTAACCGACAAAAAGACAGAAGCGTGCGATTCATAATTGTTTTGCATCATATATCATGATTTTATTACATAATGCTGTCAATATCGTAATCCTATTTAGTCTGTATCTATCGATATTTCGTGATAGTATAAGGTGCCGATTATATAAACTGCTAAATAGGCAAGAAAGATCGAAAATAAAAGTCTAATAAAAAAATAAAGAGACTTTGACAGCATGACAAGAATAAAGCTGAAAAATATAAAAAGTTTGAATACCAAAAAAATCTCTTTTTAACAAAATAAAAAGAGAAGACACTACTAAAAAAACGCTAATTTTCAATCAGTATTGCAAGATAAACAAATATTTTGTTAAAACCTATCTTTCTAAAGATATAAAAAGACATCATAGACTTGAGCTAGACATGGTCTATGTCATCGGTTTTCTCTGCTAAAAAGCTGCGACAGTTAACTAAAATTTATTGTTTACACGTTATCTCTCTAACATCAAAGGATAACTTTTTTTTTTCTTCTCCTCATATCGATCTGTACCTATGTCTTCTTTATTTTCTTCTCTTTAATTTTAATTTTTTATTAACACCTTATCAAACTGGTCATCTAATTGGTTTATAAATTCTCTCACGATCTCACAAGTGAAATCTGTTTGTTTTGAATGAGCAAAATGTTCATGTTCTACTTTGTTTACATAAAATAAGTAGTATATCTCTATTTCAATATCTTTTTTTTTACACAGCTGGCTCTATTTTCTTCTAATTTAAAGTTAACTGCATCTTCAATTTCATCATAATCAGCAATTTGTGTGCTTTTTCTATTAAATAACAAGATCAATTTAATAACTATCATGAAATATTGATTGACTATTGTTATTCAATAATCGTCTTAAACTTAACAATATTAGAAGTGTTTGTTGTCAAATTTTCATATGATTTTAGACAAAAAACTTAAAACAAAAAAATACAAAATTAGTTTAAATATAAGGTGAAACAATTTTCATTGAAAAATGAGGATAGAGAAAAACATGTTTGCCGCTCAATATTTATATGTGTGTGACATATTCACTAACCCATAAATTATTTAATAATACCTATACACATATCACTAAAATTATTTTTTCCATTTTTTTTTTATGTGTTTTTCTATCTTTGATCAGTGGCAACGGTTAACTTTTGATCAACTCACAATCAATTGTTATCACTGTATTTATTTAACATCTATAATGATCTCAATGACATCATTGACCATACCAAAAAAAATAAGAATTTCATCAATATAAAATGCTTTAGAATCGAATTCACTTGAATTACGTTAATAAGCAGAAAAATGTGAAATTATGTTGAAAAAAGATCGTCTCTTCTTTTAGATTGTTGGATAAAACTTGAGTCGATTAATCGATTTTCTAGAAGTCATACTTTATAAAATAAAAAAAAGATAGTGTTAACCAAAGTCTGTTTAAGACGATGATAGTATCTATATCCTCAACCGTTATCTACATGTCTTTCCCACGTTAAAAACAATACACAGTGACATTTCAGGTGTATTAATTGACGGTCTTTTCATATTTGATCAACTACTGTAAGTATAGAGATATTAAACAAAATTGCTAAAGGCAAAGACAAAACACTTTTTCTTGGCACAACGGGGGAGGGATTTTATACCTTTTTTTTTTTATAGTTTAATTATTACGTAACGATTCAATCAGTGGGAAGTTCTAAATGATTTGTTACAAACAGTTATTGAACTTTTCACTTTTTTTGGCTCAAGTCTAATTTACACAAACATTTTGGTTTGTTTTCATCTTTTTCTAAAAGATAGTACATTGAAAAAAAAATGTTTTCTCTCTTCCGTCTAGAAAAGAAAAGAAAAGAAGAAGAAATAAAAACGTTCATCGTACATTATATACTCGACGATTGGAGAATTATATTAAAAAAATTGGATTGGTTCATAATAAATAAAACAAAATAAAAAGTTGTGTAATTTATCAACTCGAAGATGCACAAACATCGACCTGAGTAATAGTGATGAGTTATCATATATTGTGTGAAAAATCATTTGTAACATTATATAAACGGGACACTTGTGTAAGTTATATATTTCCCATTTCAAATGTGATTATTAAAAGAAAAAAAAGTGTTATTTATCAAAAACTATCCACCTTTTTGGTGTGAGATTTCAAACATTTTTCGATTTTTTTCTTGTAGATATTGTTTTATTTTAAAATGTACTAGTTGAAAAAAGACGACTAGTTTCTTCTATAAAAATATTATCAATCGAACATCATGTTGGAAGATGAAAATTTATTTACAAGATCATCTTTTCCATATTCAATGGCTGCTCTTACAGCGGCTGCCGCTGCTCATAACATGTACAATCCATTTTCATTTAACAGTTATAGTACAGACAGTTATATAGGTATGTTTGTTGTGGTTTTGTGCAATTTTATTTTAAAGACAGACCAATTTCATATCAAATATCATCTTTTCGTTTGAAGAAAAAGTTTCCTAAGAGAACAGTAGGTAGAAATTTGTGCAATAATATTATCGGGAAAATTGTTAACCAAATTTGTAATAGAGAGATCAGCATAACAAAACTGTTAGATTTCAAATGTATGTGTAACAATTATATTTTCAATGAAAATGACATGTTCTAAAACATTTTTGTTTTTAGCACCAGATATAAAACGTGTGCGAGCAGATTCAAAAATTCAAGTAAAACTAGAAGATATTGATTTATGGAAACGTTTTCATGGTTTGGGAAATGAAATGATAATAACAAAAACTGGACGGTATGTTCATTTTTTTCCGCTTTTCACATGAAATAGTGTGAGAAAAAAGTCTTATCCTTTTCATTTATTTTATTTTATATAGAAAAAAATTAAAAAAAACCTAATAATCAGTTGAATTTTTTGTTAATATGAAGTGTAATAGCAATCTGTCTTTTCTCACTGTACCATCTTGTATTAATTAAAAAAATCAAAACTAGACAGAGACAAAAAATATTTTTTTATTTTAGACGAATGTTTCCAACATTTCGAGTGACAATAAGTGGTCTTGATCTAAATACAAAATATATGTTGTTATTAGATATAGTACCAGTTGATGATAATAGATACAAATATCATGAGTCAAGTTGGAATATATCGGGAAAAGCTGAACCCCATTTATTTGGAAGGTTGGTAATAATTGAAAGAGAAAAAAAGAGAAAATATTTATTTATATAATATTTTTAGATATTATGTACATCCTGATAGTCCGGCAACCGGTGCACAATGGATGAAACAGTGTGTTTTATTTAATAAAGTTAAAATCACAAATAATGCAATGCACAATCAAGGACATGTATTATAATAATAAATATTTATTTTTTAAAAATTTCATCTTTTAATTTTTATTCTAGATTATTCTTAGTTCAATGCATCGTTATCAACCACGTCTACATATTGTTGAAGCATCCGATGTTTATTCTATTAGAACTGGCACATACAACACATTTACATTTGATGAAACAGTTTTTATAGCTGTAACAGCCTATCAGAATGATCAAGTATGTCTGTATTGTATAATAGAGTGGTCTCATTATTCAAATACTCGTTATTTTTTATTCATTTTAGATTACGAAATTAAAAATTAATCATAATCCATTTGCAAAAGGATTTCGTATGTATAATTTTCAATCATTCTTGAATCAAAGAAAGTTAATCTTTATTGGAAAATTTATTTTTTTTTTTCAGGTGAACAACCAACACATGGAAAAAGGTAAATAACAAAAAAAATTTATTTATTTTTCAATAGGATAAAATAAATGTTGATCATTAAGAATAACATTGAACTACTTAAAATTTAGACAAGAAACTACTGATCTTTAACTCTTAATAAAATAAAAGGTAATTTTAATCATTTTTTTTAGGCATTTAACAAGTCTAAAACGTCATTGTGAGTCTAACAACGATAATGAGAAAAGATTAAAAACAGGTAACAATAATTATTAGTAACAATAATCAATCGATTATTTTTATCTTCTTTTTCTTTAAAGATCATGTTGGTTCATCTCGATTATGCAAGAATGATTCATCATTAAATTCTACTCTACAACAATCAACTACTTCTACTCCTATTACTTCATCTGTTATTGCTGATTCTACTACCTATCTTGATGAAAGTTATACATCCGGTGATAGTCCAACAAAAGATTATAAATATTCAATTTCTACACCATTAACTACATCCACAACTTATCCATCAAATATGTACAATTATGATACATCATCACCATTTTATATGAATCAAAAATTAAATTCTTATTATGGTATGTCAAATACACCATTTCCATATAGTTCAGTAAATTTTGGACAATTTTCACGTTATTCAACTCAAACTTATCCGTATAATCTCTCATCACCAACAAACTATAATGCATTTTTTAATCAATAATAATATAATGTTTTTTTTTCTACATTAAATTTATCTATCTATTTTCGTATGTCTGTATATTTATTCTATTCTATAGAAATAAAATGATTGTTGAAACAACTCAAAAAAAAAAAGAAAAAGAAAAAGAAAGTCATTGCCATATTGTATGTACTTATTTTTTTGTTGAGGTGTTAAAGCGCATTTAGAATATTACCATAAAACAATACGTTTCATATACATCAAAATATCAATATTCTAATTGACTATGATATAGGAACAAATGTATTTTTAGTCTCAAGAGAAATAAATATGAACTAAATTTTGTTGGTGTTATGACATGAGCGAACAACAACAAAAAAAAGTTCTTTTTTTTTTTTCTCCAGCGAATGATCTCTATTTAATTTCTTAAAAGTCGCCGATATACATATGGTAACCCTAAAGGCGAACATTGAAGGTAGAAATAACTATGAAGCCAATCGAAAATTTGAACGACTCACATGAATGATTATTTTAACACATCATAAAATATGTTTGAATATATAGATATGGGTATAATGGAACGAGCCAATAAAGAGAATATAAAAATATATCTTTTATTCACGTATATACATATAACTCATTCGTCTTTTTTGTATATAGTAGTTGCTAATAGGTTTTTGTGTACATTCCATTGATATAGAGAGAAGAAACAGAAATAAAAATAGATATGGGACATAAAATAAAATTTACCTGAGTAAATAGTTAAAAATTTTGTATTAATTTTTATATACAATTTCTCTGAGGTATGCAGCGAGTTTTTACTATTGTTAAGTGAAATGAACTGTAATTTATTTCGGATTGATACTTTGAAAAAAAAAAGAGAACGATTAAATGATCATAGTCTCATTTTTGAGTAGACAACTAATTAAAAATTAAAAATAGAGATTTTTCCTTCTCAAGCTAATTGTCGAACTTTATCCTACTTTACAGGTGTAGGATCTTTAGTGAATTATTGGTAAAGTATATATCCGGTATTGTTTTACTATCATAATGGTCACAGAACGCACATCATTTAAAGCAGCATGTAATGGGCACATCACAGGATAAGCGAGCCGCAATAAATTACGCCTTAAACCTTTAATTTTTCTCAGAAAAATGCAACTATAGTAAAAATCTTGTCGGAATGGACTCTACAGGACTGAATTGTGTACTAAATTGCTCGGAAGATTTTATCCACATCCAGAAAATCTGGCAATAATATTCCAATATGTAAAAGTGATCTGTAAAGCTTTAAAATGATCAATTCTTTCTGTTATTCCTTGTCAGTTGCAATATCAAAAAGTTGAGGTATGCTTAGTGAAAAAAAGACAAATTCTCATTATTATTTAATGAAGTCACCGTTTATGGCATAAAAGTAGGTTCTAAAGACTTCTATCATGTACGGTACGGTTGAGAGTACTAACATCTTATGAAGTTTGATATTCTTAGTAAGTTTCGTTCAATAAACATTTTGAAACTTATCATTACTTTCTCTGAATATTTTAGACTAAAATAGTCAATACAATTCTTGTAAAGAATTTTAATCGAATCGTTTGTAAGACGATGAAGTATAAGATACAACTTTTCAACGGCAGTTTTTTCAATCTGAATATCTTTTTGCTATTTACACACCAAAACAATGTTCTAACAGCCGGCCGCCAAAGTCAACATGAAAAATATTTGAAAATCGTACTAGAAAATGTACAATCAGAACAAAAACATTGTGTTAATTGATTCTTAGAGAATATAATTTGATAGTGTTAACTTAGAATTAATGAACAACGACTGTTTTATCTCTATTTAACAAAATAATTAATTTCTTTGGTATTTCCAGTTGAGATAATCGCAGTTAATGCGAAAACTGTTTTAGAGTGAAATACTTTTCTTTTTTCTAAATTGATAATCTCTCAACGCCTCAAATCTAGTCGACTACAACTAATAAGAAAATATTTTTTGGTTTTTTTTTCTGCATTGAGATTGGCTCTTTTTAACGCGTTTATCATACGTATATGACGTATTGGTTGGATTGGTCAGATAGAAAAATAATTCATGTAGAAGAAAGAAAAGAAAATTCTTGTTTCTCTTCTCTTCTCTTCTCTTGTCTCCTTTCGTAGGTAAAAAATTAGGAGGCATATGACCGACTTGAATTACGGGAGAACACATATGACAATCAATTTTTAATATACATATTACGTAAAACACTATTTATTTAAATCTTTCTTGCATGTTGTCATACACCGTTCAAGAACAATCAAATTCAACAACAAACATATGCTCATCATCTTTAACATCAAGAATATACAACGATGACGATATTTTTCATGTACGAAATAAACCGTTTACTTATCCGTCAATGTCAGCAGCCGCGGCAGCAGCAGCCACACATGGAATGTACACATCACAAGCATTTCCCGGATTTGGATTCGGTTTATACGACGATATCACACCCTTCTCTGGTAAAAGACTAATTAGAATTCACTATTCATTTAGACTAGACAAGGGCTAAAATATTTTTTCCAATGGTTGTAGGAATTGTTAGGTCAGCGGCGTCTATCCCCACCTGGATATTGGACGCATTTGTACCATCTCGGAAGTTTGATCTCTCAGTGTATCACCTGAAAAATGAATTTCTATAGCAAAAATGCGTATCACCTTACTTTTGTTTAAGGCATTACGCCTCAAGAGTCTCACAAGATAGACGCCCCTGTATTAGGTTTACATGTGAAAAAACATTTCTGAGTTCAAACTGAGCAGACTTCAACCCAGGTATTTCAATATTTTATATTTTTTGAATTTTCTCATAATTTTTATTAGATCCCACACGATCCTCATTTGCTTTGGCAACAAAACGTGAACGTCCCGATCCAAATATTGATGTTAAATTAGAAAATATGCATTTATGGAAAAAATTTGATGGAATTGGAACAGAAATGATTATTACAAAAAGTGGGAGGTATGTGCATACATCTACTTGATGTGATGAGTCAAGTCAAATTTCAATGGGACTTTCTTTTTGTAACAACTTGTTAACACAGCTGGTAATAAAAAGAAGTTCAACTGTACAATATAGTGTTGACATTGATGATAGTTGATGTCTCTTATGAATTAGTAATATGAACTAATTAATTTTTCTGCTCAAGAGTTTCAAATTGAATGAGTTTTGCTTCTCAACAGGAAAGAATTAAGTTTGTTTTCCTCCATACTAAGTATGATGAGATGTTATATGTATGTGTTTAGAAGGATGTTTCCAATATTTAAAGTGACAGTGACAGGATTAGATACAAATTCAAAATATATTATGTTTATGGATGTTGTACCAGTTGATAATAATCGATATAAATATCATAATTCTCAATGGATGATAACGGGTGCTGCTGAACCCCATATGCCCGGAAGATTGTATCCACATCCAGAAAATCCAGCAACAGGTAGTCAATGGATGAAACAATCAATATCATTTAATAAATTAAAATTAACAAATAATACCATGGATCAACAAGGACATGTAAGTAAATAGATTGTAATAATGATATTTTAATATATTTTCAATTATCACTATCTTATAAATAGATTGTCTTGAATTCTATGCATAAATATCAACCACGCTTACATATCATTCAAGCATCCGAACCATTATCAATACGACCGGATGCTGTTAATACATTTACATTTGTCGAAACAACATTTATTGCCGTAACAGCGTATCAGAATGAACAGGTTTGTATTTTCATATTTTTTAGTGAAAATCTTAATTTGGTCAACAGGATTTTTATCGTAAAACCATAAGTCGTGTTACAATTAATTGTCTTATTTTAGATAACTCGATTAAAAATTGATAATAATCCATTCGCTAAAGGTAAATAAAATAATCTTTGTTCCTACCTTATATATTAATGATTCTTTGACTTTATTAAGGTTTTCGCGATCACAATGGTCATAGTAGAAAGTATGTTTAAATTTGGTGTTTTTCATATTGCTTCAATTTACTTTTTATTCCAGAGATACACGATCAATGAAACGAAGCAATCAATCCAATGATAATGGAAAAAAAATTAAATTAGGTAGTTACAAACCCATCCATAAAATGTCAAATAATCTGCACAATGAGTTTTTTAATTCAAAATTCTCTTTATTTTGTTGTTTAGAAATGTATACTCCTGATTCAAAACGTAGTAAATCTAGTAATGGTGATGATCTTACACCTGAATCGCCCACAATTCAAACTACAATCAATTCAACATCAACTCCGATTGCAGCAACAGCTGATTCAACCACCTATTCCGATACGGATAACTATGATTTTCATACATACAGAGATTCAGCAAAAAATAGTTTATTAAACAATTACTATTATTCATCGCCAATATTTTCATCAAAATTTCAACAGTCATTTGCCAATCATCATCATTCATCTAGTTCATTTAGTCCGTATACGACGAATATTCCTGGTTTAACCAATCCATTTGCACGCTATTCAACGAGTCCATTTAGTCCAACATACAATCCATATAGTCATCCACCTTTGTACTATTCATCCTAATAAATACATTGTACATTATAATTTTATTTGTTTTTTTGTTTGTGAAAGATATTATTTTAAAAAACCATAAGAGATAATATGTCAATGAAAAGTGAAATTTTTGTTGTTACTAGAATAAAAAACAAAAACCAAAAGAACTATGATAATGGGTACGAATCGCACAACAACACCTTATAATACAACAAATATCATTCAGGTGTTTGAAACAAAAACAATTCAACGAACTGCGTACAACTCTCTCCTCCAGCCGACCAGGCTTAGTTCTATTCGTCGATTTTAGGTCAGCGTTCGACCGAGTTTGGCACGACGCATTGCTAGTAAAACTAGCTAGGCGCACTAGACGCAATTTCAGACTATTGCAAAAAATGGCTAATCGAACTAAATACAAAAAAGACAGAAGCAATGTTGATAAATGTTAAATATAACCGATCACCATTTCAACTATCGTACAATGGTGAGACCATTTCATTTGTAAAAACTTTGAAGTACTTCGGGTATATGATTACTCCACGTCTCGGTCTTGGGAAGATGCTTATTTCTCAGCGTCGTCTAATTGCTTCTTCGTTTCACGTTGTTTCTCGTCTTTTTTGTGGTTCTGGTATGTTGTCTATCAAACTTCGTCGCCGGGCTTTTTCGCTTTGTCTACCCCTTCTTTTATATGGTTAGCTCTATTGTTTTTCTATTTCACTGATATCCAACAATGAAAACTGTCCGATTTATATGCTTTTTATTTAAGACGAGTGTATGGTTTAGCTTTTCTCGATTATAGATTTTTTTCTTTAACTGTCGAAAGAACTTTAGTGGATCGTTTTTCTGCTTACTGGCTTAAATTTATTTTCAAGTTTTCATTTTTTCCTGACAATATATCATTAACAGAAACATGAACAATGTACTCAAATTTTCAGCGTGATCGCAATTTGTGTCTAAGTGAATCTGCTTTACGTAGAAATTGTTGGGATTTGGTACAGTTCAAGTGGTTATTTTGTAAACCTAGTTTGTAACAGTCAGTGTGGTTCATTTCAACTAATTCCATTGGTCACAGACACTATCAGCAGACTTTTGAAAGATGTAACGGTCAGTGTGACCGAAAATATAAACAAAACTGGGATTCTCAACTGAGATACACTTTCTGTATCAACAGTGTACATATACGCTTTTCACAGAAGTTCGAAAACTATGATTTTCCACATAATACTATAATCAAACTGCATTATATCAAAGTTCGTTGAAATATTTTCATGGGTTTTACTCGTAACAAGAACACAAAGAGGTGCACTAGCAATATTATATGAAGAAAGTTTATATCGTTGTTAGCATCGATATCCGAAGGATATTAAACGTTGGGTTTGCATGATTAATAATTGTGGATATTCTACTAATTCACGATTTCAGCTGGTAAATGGATCAGAATTTACAAAACTGTACTTTATTAAATATAATTCAGTTAAGAAACGCAATTTTGTTTATATTTTTCTATTGTTCAATTAAGATCCCTAATTAAAAAAGCATCTCAGTTGATGTGTAACCATTTTCATGTGATTTGGATATATAGACAGAATTATAGACAGTATGTGTAAATCATATAATAGACAAAAAACCTTTACCGTCAGACAGTACTGTCTGACCTAATTTTAATACGATGCCACTTAAAACACTTTAACATGTATACGAAATCTCTAAAAAACTAATTTAATATTAGTTATAGTTAGAAAACTAATATTCTATCTGAAACTATTTTTCTTAATTCTTCAAATGCTATAAGTTCACAATCTTATCTTCAGGCTTAGGGAGTTGTCGAATGTAAAGTAGTTGAACTTATCATATTCTATAAAGTTTGGCTTGTCTAGTAGAAAATTTCGGACTAAACAGAATGAAGGTTGAACAATTTATCTAGGAAATCTCTCAACTTCATATACTGTTCTCCAAGAAACCAAGACAAGGTTTTTCCTGAAGTGGTAAACTATACGTGGAGACTTTGCTTCTTAAAATGCAGTCTCATCCTACCTTACTTACTGAACCAACAGATTTTCATTCGGCATCGCGTATCGACTACTTTTCAACGCTAAAAGTACATTAAGAGTTGTTCGTGTGAATAATCTTAACTAAAATATCTAAGACTGAGTAATAATTCTCATCGAAGATAACCTTACATTCTATTTTAGATCTGACTATTAGTCAGCCCATCTGCTTAAAGCAGATGGGAAAACGAGCGTTGCAAAGAAGGGTAGTAGATTGAAGCAGACAACTGCGACATCTGTAATCAAGCTTCAGTTTTCTCTTAAAAGACTTTGAAAGACTGGTTTTAATGAGCAACAAGGGTACAAGAATTTTTAGACAACTAAACAAAAAATGTCATGTCGGTGAAGTTCAATGTATTTATTTTCATTGGATGAAAATGCGATAACGAAGTAGTTCCGATTACTCACCACAGTTAGAAGTCATAATATAGAGTAAAATCAATAAACAAACTTGCCCTTTTAGAGTTATTTTTTGCAATCGTCACCTGTTCCGGTTTATTTACTAACACGAAAAACACAGTAAAAATCAAATTTCCGGACTGAAATTCTCATTTGACTGATCAATTATTAAAAACGCTAATTAAAATTCTAGTGATTCGACCAGATCTTATGCACCTATTATAACCAATCGCCCTTATGTGAAAGATCTGTGACTATATGATGCATAGCAGAACAGTAAAATGATTCAATTCAGAAATTCGATATCGGTCAATTGCATACTGTAAATGTGCTCTAGTTGGATTGATGAAATCTCGCTTAATCAATATTTTACTAATCTGTTTTGCGTCGCATTTATCTGATGATTTTTGTCATTCTCCAAGTAGATCGATAAAAAGATATACAGGCTCAAAAAGTTTGTTGTCTGCTTTATGTGAAAGTCTTTTGGGCAACTGCTACCTGGAGTGTGATGCATAGTTATCATTGTTCTGGTTTTTAGATGCAAGATATAACTTCAATAAAGTCTAGATTAAACGAAGAATTATTTTCATCTACTCAAGAATCATGTCTAACACTTTGTCGTGTTTACGATTTGACAAAGAAAGGAAAAGAGAGGGTTTACATTTTGTGTGCTTGCAGTAAGTTCTTCTACAGGTATATTTTCTCTGTTCTATTCTATTCAATTTCAGTTTATCCCAAAGCGGATCCACAACCAACGATTCACCTGATAAAAATACCGGAAAAAAGTACTGAAACATGCAAAAAAAAAACGTCGTTGTTATTACGCGATATAAAAACAATTGATTGTGCACCGGATAAACGTTCAACAACAAAAACAAATGCACGTGCAGAAAAAGAGCGTGGCATCGATATTATACACGTTGATCGAGAATATTCATTTGCTTGTGTGACAAATGAAGAAAAACAGGAATTTTTAATAACATTAAGAAAGGTAAGATATGCATCAAGTAAAGAAAAGCATCCTTTATTCAAAAGCCTTTTAGGTAACAGCTCATTATTTGAAAGATAGTAAACAAAAGCCAAAGTTTATCAATTTTGAATCGGATGATCAGCTTATTGTAAGTAAGTAACTCAAAAATAAGCTTGAATTAGATAGAAAAAGGATGTAAATCCTTTTCTGTTTGTTAAATAGATCCCAAAGATGTAGAAGATATGTCACGGAAAACGCTACAAATGGAACCCTCTGATGCAATTACACAACAAGAAGAAGACGATTTAACTAGTTTAATGTCCGAGTACGATTTCGCGATTAAAGATGCCGAACGTTTTGTTGAAATGTTACAACAACGATTAACCGATTTGGATATTGTACGTGTAACTGTTATGCTTTCCTTCAGCTATATCTACTGAAGACAGTGGTTTCTTTTACAAGGCTAACGTCGAAACAGTAATGGCATCAGAAAAAGGTGCTGTACAGTTAATGAATATGCTGGATAAAGCGGTGGATGAAATTACAAAAACAGACACGCGTCTAAGTTTATATGAGAAGAAGTTGAGTGTAAGTACTTCCATGAGCTACGCAACAGAAAGAGTAGCTCTAAAATCAAGCTTTTATGGAGAAACAGAGTTTGCCTTGGCTGATCTGAGAAGATGGTCGCAATCGTTTGTGAGAAAGATGTTATCTTCTTTTTCTACTCAGAGTACTGATTATTTCTATATAGATAATAAGATGAAGATCATCTTTTTTATGTTGAAAATACACATATCAAGAATAGTGGTACATTGTCTTGAAAATGGACATCGAACTAGCTTCTGTTCCGAAATTTTTGCTCTTGATATAGTCAAGAGAATGATTAAAGAGAGCGCGCTGGTAGATATTCGCAGAAAGGAAAGAAGAAGGATCATCTATTCTCAAAAAAGCTTTGTTTTGAATATTAGTAGTAATAGAAAGAAGGAATTTAGATTTTTGTTTCATTCTCTAGACATATACGTAATTTCTTTTCTAATATATGCTGAAATAACTTCTGTAGCCATTTGGCTGTTATGATGTCTTTTGAATAAAGACAAAACGTCTCAAGAAAATATGTGTGTTTTCAAATAAAAAAATGGTCGCCATCGTATTATCAATACAGAAATTGTTCACCTTAAATCATGAATCAAATAATTATTTCTAATTGAGTCGTTATACCCCATGTCGCCAAAACCAAAATTTTTTTTCCGTTAATCAAGTGAATAATGCAAAAACATAAGCGGCGTAGCGCAAAAAATGGTTACAAATGCGTCATTCTGCAAAATTTTGTTCTAGAGAATTTTGTAGAATCTCGCATTTGTAACGTTACGCCACTTGTGTTTTTGCATTTTTTATATCATTTTTGAATTTCTACATGGGACTGCATCTATCTTGTATTTCTCGAATTATCTTTTGTTTTAACTTCAGAGTGTGGCTGATGCCGTAAAAATAATGAGTCGTAAAGATTCGTTGATTCAAATCGAAACATCCAATGTTCTCAAATTAACCGAAGCGCTTGATAATTTACTGGTATACAGACCTTTTTCAGCTCTTTATTATTCCACTGCAATTATGACTCTAATTAATAGAGCATGCAAGATTTTCCCGACGAATATATTCATTTATTACAAAATAATGATCTAACAAATGATGATTCACGTACAATGTGTACTCAAGCAGCAAATCATTTAAATCAAGCATTGAGTGTACAGTTACAACCTGGTAAATACAACTAAACCGCGTAGACGGAAGAAGGGGGATGAAGAATACTGTCTTTTCACTATCGTTACATATGCATTATGTTAGTGTTAATAGCCCAGTGTCTTTCCTACAGTTGAAAAGCTTCTGATATGGTAATCTATATCGTTACTAACAATCAACTGCAGCTCTGGAAGGCTAGCCTGATATAGAGTTCTTCTTTCCCAACTACTTGAGCTCGCCATACACACTCACTAATCGCGTGCTGGCTCTTTCCTGAAAGTCACGAGTGTTTATCGGACGAACTGTATTGCACGTCGTAATAGAGTAAGTATGCTGTGGGACGGATGATCCCTGGCACTAACGAATGAGACACAAAATAAGGTACCTGAGATAATTACATAACTTATGTACACTTGAGGTTTGAACTCAACATTTTCGAAGTGCATGACAAACAACCGCTAACAGCAACTTCATAAAACTTAGTATTATTCATACACGTTTGCTTTATTCAGGCATGGAAAAAATGGTTGCTGTAAGACAAAAACGTGAACTTCTAGAGCAGACACAAAAATCATTCTCGTTGCGTGTAAAAAACTTTCTGAGCAACAAATTTCTTTATTGTGTACGTAGCAGGAGTAGAGTCTTTGTGGCTATATGAAACTATCGTGAGGGAACATGGCATTGTTTTAGGCATCCGAATACGGTGAACGTTTTCAAATTGGGGCGAATGAATTACCACGTCACACTGAAAAAATTGCTAAACAACTGCTACCTTACAGTCCACTGTGTCAATGGCTCAAAGTCGCTGATCAGCAACATTTCAAAGACGTTTGTCAAGTAAATGAGATCTCTACTTTTTTTTTCTTCAGAACTTATGTATTTATTTGTTGTTTCATAGGCTTATATTTCACATATAAGACCAATTTATTCACATGAACTACAAGGATTTATAGAGTCTGCTCGTCTTGGAGTTCAAAGAGGTTTACCATCAGCGTCGGAAAAAAAGATAGGTAAGTTATAAATATTTTTATTCTACTAAGATCTTACGGTGTTCGTATTTTGTTTTAAGGTTCAGTGACATCACTGACCGCTCGTAACCAACAAAAACAAATACTTCAAACGCAAACTTCCACTGGTAGTAGTGGAAGTAGTGGTCCAGTCGATTATGATCCATTTTCATTACGTAATACACCAAAAGAATATCGCCAGAGGTGTGATAAGGTAGGATATTTCTAACTAACTTTATCTATTCAAATTGTTAAAACCTTTATTTTAGATATTTGAACGTGTTTTATCACAAGTTGGACCCGTTATACGAGAGGAACAATGGTTTTGTGTGAATTTTTTCAAATTTTTAGAAGAAGAGACAATCTCCACTGACGTAGGTGGAATGATAGTAAGAACTACCTGAGTTTTATATCATTATAATTCTCTTTAGAATGCTCCCGAATCGACTGAGAGTATTGAAAATTTTAGTTCAACGGGTTTGAAGTACGTGTTGTTATTCAAGCATTGAGAACATTGTTTATTCATAATCATTTTTCATTTCAGACAAATGTTATCAGATCTTTTTGAGCCGTTGGATGCCGAGCTTAAATCTTTAATATCGTACATAAGAAGTGTTGAACCATAGTAAGTTAAAAATATTGCTTATGTTATTTATTGTTTTGCTTCTTTTTTCATTTAGCATAGTCTTATATTTATTTGTTCGAATGAGTGAATATACTATAGCTGTCCAAAATTTTGGAGCATTTTTAAATAAGCTGTTTGCTGGAAATTTGATATTACTGAAACGAGATGTCGATAGTTACATAGTACGTACTTTTCTCAACAATGGTTGATTGTTTTTTAGTGCAAAGAAGTGTAAGCAATCGTAAGGTACTGCATTGCAGAGACAGAATCGGGTCAAACTCATTTGATCCGAACCCGAAAATTCTTTTTCTTGACCCGAATGAGTTCCGACAAATAGCTGAGGTACTATATTAAAAGAAGTGCCTTTTCTCCCTTTGGTGTAAGACAACACTGATATACCTTAGGCTTGTCATAATTACTGTAGGAGCATGCAATTTTTTTTATCAAATTATTCGCCTGCTATTGCCGATTTTTATTTAGAGTGATGTTTGTTCACGTATAAATGACTATCGTCCATCGAAGAGTCGTCGTGTTGGTATATTACCTTTTGTTACATATTTTGCTGTAAGACAATGCTTTGCCCCTTTTATTTTGCATTTTTGGTTCTTTGTATTTTTATTAGGAATTTACCGAAGAGGCTGAAACTGTTTTTGATAAATCTCAACGTGCTGTAGATTTGCATCGTGTCTATAAAAATTTGGTAGCAGCCATATTTCGGGGAATTGAAAGCTGTGCAATGTCGGCAGGTGATGGAAAAACACCACCGTCAATGGTTCGACTAGGTATTTAGAAAAATATGTCTGTTTTTTTATTATTATCGATGTTTCTCTCTCCATTTAGAAAACTATCATCAAATGCAACGTAATTGATAAATTGTTTCGTTATTTCTTATTTGTTCAAATGTTTGTGTTTCTTTTAAGATATTATTGGTATTAATAAGTTGTCCGTGTTAGATAATGAAAAACAAGAAGCAAGAAAAAATTATGGTACAGCCAAAGATGAATATGAACGAGAATATTGTGGATTTCCATTTGAAAAATTACACGTAAATTTCTCAGAGGTATAACATTTTGAAAAAGCTATAGGTTTTTCTATATTTTAGAACTTTTTCGACCGTGTAGATGAACTCCGTAAACGTTTAACAAAAGATGAAGATGTTCAGTATCATAACGATTTTGGAGTTATTGAGTTACGTCGACTAGTACGTGAACATCCACCAAAAGAGGTACACAATTGTTTAACAGGCATCTCTATTCAAATGATATTTTCACGTGTGTTTTCACAGGTTAAGAAAGGACTTGAGATTTTGTATCGAAAAGTCGAAAAACATTTATCCGAAAATTCTTCACTTATGCAGGTAAGTAAACCGAATCAATGTGAGCTCTTATCTTTAATTTTGTTGCTTTTATTTATTTTTAGGCTATCTGGCATGATATTCAATCGTTAGTGCTTGAGGAACACGAACGCATGACAAAACTAATAGCACAATGTTATCCAAATTCAAACATTCAACTTGATTTTACTGTGGACAATCTTTTAAGTTTTTTTGCTGAAATTGCCCATTCAAATTAGAATGTTAATTGAAATAATTGTTATTGTTTATTACATTCCTTCATTTTTACTACATTCATAGTTTTTTCCGGTAATTGTTCTTTTGTAATATAGCAGAACGTCTAGCAGAGACCATCAACTTTTTGTACTAGTTGTACAACTTTACGTTACAATAGTAACTCACATCTTGATGCACAAGTGTCGTTTTTTTATGGTTGTTCTTTAGCCAATGCAATGAAAGCCAGTGTTCAATGTTATCGAGCTTTATTGTCTGTCTGATCTGTTAGAGTTAGGTTATTTCTTTTTAAATTGATTGTTTCTTTTGTATTTATATCCTATTTTGTAGAACTAATAAAAATATTTATCATGTTTCTTAGATTTTCTTCTCATTCTCTACCCGGTGTCAAAATGCCGCATTATCTTCCATTAATTTATTGTTCATTTTTAGATTTTTTTTTGTGTTTTATTTGCCAATATTTCTCTATATCTACAGAATGAAAGACGATTTATTTTTTAATATTGATCATGGGTATTTAGAAGGATTATGTCGAGGTTTTAAAAGTGGTATATTAAAAGCTCCAGATTATCATAATCTTGTTCAATGTGAAACACTCGAAGGTACATAACTGTTTGATATATGAGTACAGGACTCTTGATTTTTATTTTATTTTTATTTAGATTTAAGATTACATTTACATAGTACGGATTACGGTAGTTTTTTGGCTAATGAAGCGAGTCCATTAACAGTTAATGTTATTGATGATCGTCTACGTGATAAATTAGTACAAGAATTTCAACATTTAAGAAATGCATCATACGAACCACTTTCAACATTTTTGGATTATATAACGTGAGTAACGATTAATAGAACGCTTTGTGCACATCATATTTTCTTTTCAATTCTAGTTATGCTTATATGATTGATAATATTGTATTATTAATCACCGGTACATTACATCAACGTGCAATTGGCGATCTTTTACCACGATGTCATCCATTGGGTACTTTTGAACAATTGGGAGCGATAACTATTGCTGATACACCAGCACAATTGTACAGTGCAGTTCTCGTCGATACGCCACTAGGTAAGTAAAGAATACATCTTAGAGAAAAGATATTTTTTTACTCTTTATTTTATAGCACCCTATTTTATCGATTGTATCTCAGAACATGATCTAGATGAGATGAATGTTGAAATTATTCGAAGTACTTTGTACAAGGTAAGTGATTTTGACCGGCTGAAGTCTGAGATAAAATTACTTAAAAAACTATCTATGATCTTTCATCAGCTGATTATGTTTGTCTTGTCATTTTTTAGGCTTATTTGGATGATTTTTTTAAGTTTTGTAAAGACCTAGGCGGTGTAACAGCTGATGTAATGTGTGAAATACTAGCGGTAAATCTAATATCTAAAAATTTATATTTAAATAAAACTATTCAGTGTAAATTATTTGTGTATTTAGTTCGAAGCAGATCGTCGTGCTTTCATGATAACGATCAATTCATTTGATACTGGTTTAACACAAGATGAACGGGCTAAATTATATCCAACGTGTGGTCATTTACATCCCGATGGGTTGGCTGAATTACGTAGAGCAGATAGTTATGAGGCTGTTAAAGAAGTAGCATCACGCTATTCGGTATAAATACATTGTTTTATTTATTTTTATTATCATACATTTTTTGAATCAGAAAATCTAGTTGTTGATGTAATGCTTTACTTAATAAAGACTATTTTCAGTTTATTCAGAAATATGAGACGATGATGATGATAAATATTGTGAATGTTTTAGGAATACAAACTATTATTTGAAGGTGCTGGATCGAGCACTGGAGACAAGACAATTGAAGATAAATTTTTTGAACATGAAGTAAGAGATGATATTTTTTTCTATCATTATGATAAATTTATATTATTTATTCTGTTTAGGTTAAACTCAATATGAATGCATTTCTTCGACAATTTCATTTTGGTATATTTTATGCATATTTAAAATTGAAAGAACAAGAAAATCGTAACATTATTTGGATTGCTGAATGTATCGCACAACGACATCGATCACGGTAAGTAACTGATTCTTTTGTTCTTACATAGAAAAAGTTCTTTTCATTTATTTTCTTATTTCTGTCTACAGAATCGACAATTATATACCAATATTTCCATAATTATATTTTCAATTGTGTTCCAACAATAAATTAGTGTGTCTTGTCTGTTGTGCATTCCATATTGACAGAGACTACGAGTGATATCTTTTTGTTTTATAATATTTTTCTTTTTCTTATCAAATACAAAATATTTTCCAAATGTATTAAAAGATTTTCAAAAGAAAAAAGGATATAATTTGACAACCCTATCTCATTATGAACAAATGTTATTCATATACGATTAAATTTTAACAGTGCAATCTTTTCCCTTCTATATTTTATGGTTTCTTTTGTTTTTGTTGCCTATTTTTATTCCAATCATTTGATTTTCTTTCAACGTTGTGCGTAATATAATAAAGTTTGTCAAGTATTCATTCTGCTGTTGTTGTTAGTATATTTCAAGAATAAAGATGTTTATAGACAACTGATCTATATCTTTTTAGTTATGCATATTTTCTGATCATGATATTTTCTCCATTTTTGTTTAAAAATTTAAACTAAATAAGTTTAGTTTTAGATATAGTACAGTAATACACGCATACGAGCGTAAAAAAATAAAATAGCCATGGGTGATGATGTAAGTATCATATTGTAATACGACGTTTTCTTTGTTTTTATTTGTGCTAACTATTTATTCAGATTATGGGTTATAATGGTGGTGTTGCACTGGCAATGAAAGGAAAAGAATGTGTTGCAATTGCCTGTGATAAACGTTATGGTGTTCAAAATCGTACAATAGCAACAAATTTTACAAAAATATTTGAATATGGTCCACATTGTTATGTTGCACTTTGTGGTTTAGCAACAGATGTAAAAAAGAAAATTTTTGTTTTCCTCTCTTATTTCTCTGTTATCTTTATTTTTTCTTAGGTACAAACAGTTGCTGAACGTTTAAAATTCCGTACAAATTTGTATGAATTACGTGAACAACGAAAACTTAAACCAAATGTTTTATATAATATGTTAACAAATTTATTATATGAAAAACGATTTGGACCCTATTTTGTTTTTGCTTTAGTTATCGGTTTAGATCCAAAAACGGGTCAAACGTTTTTGTATGATTCAGATAATATTGGTGCTATAAGTGATAATGTTAATTTAGCAACAGTTGGTACAGCTAGTGAATATATATTTGGTTTAGGTAAATATGTCAAAAATTAACGATTTTCCCTTTTAAATGAGTTTTTCTGTTATTTTTAAAGGTGAATTATTTTTTAAACCGGACATGACACCAGATGAATTATTTGAAGCTACATCTCAATCACTTTTAAATGGTTTTGATCGTGATTCAGCATCTGGGTGGGGTGCTGTGGTTTATGTTATTGAAAAAGATAAAGTGACTGTTCGTGAATTGAAAGCAAGACAAGATTAATTTAAAAATAACTCATGATTCCGTCATAACTCTACAAGGCTTTTTTTTTAAAAAGAGAGCAATCTAGAAAAATTCATTTGCTTCTTTTGTGTTATATTCGACTTTTTTTATTGTTTATGTTCAAAACATGTTTCCAGTGTTTAAAAAAAACTGATTTGAATTTAAATTGCATAACCACAAATGAGAAAGTGAGTACTGTTCATCAAAACAAAGGAACAACTTCTTTAGAAAATTTCGAATTTAAACGTAAGTTGTTATTTAATCGATTGAGTGACTGATTTGTAATGTCATGAGCGTACTGTTTATCTCCTGTTCTATTTCTTTTTTTTTCAACCATACAATGTAATATATAGTTACACACAAAGAGAAAAGAAAAAATGTGGCAATAAACGAAAAAGAAGATACACACAGTCGAAATGTTATCTAAAGTTTTTAATTAAATAAAAAAAAAAAAAAAAAAATGAGGAACCCATTCAGTGGAAAAGAAAAAAAACAAATTTTGGCTCGTAGTTTACAATAGCTAGTATAATTTGTTTTTAAGGAAAGCATGTTTACAAATAAAAAATGGAAAATGGTATATCATTGTTGACTAGCTTGAATTATGTCAATAGGAACAAGAGCATGCAGAGGCATTACGACAAAAAGTAGTTAAACTCATATACTACATGGAAAAATTATAAACTAATAGAATAAAAGATGAGAAAAATGGTGACAGTATTAGCAGACTTTCTCTTAGGACGACATATGTCTCTTTTGTCAAGATTACCGTTCTTCATTAATCTTGTTGACAGTGAAATCAATTAATATTTGTGTTTTTCTCACTTTTTCTACTAGAAACATATAAATAACGCAAAGAACACAACATAGCTTTTAAATTATTTTATGAGTGTCTACTATGTGCAACCTCTCTCATATACACTCTCATCTATCACTGAAATTAATTTTTTTTAAGCATCTTCACAATATTCCCAATATTCGGTATCATAACCTTCATAAACATGATCCAACAAAACTTTTCTTCTAATATCACAATATCGATATTTATCTTGTACTTTTTGTTTAATTTCATTTAAATTTGTCATTGTCTGTGAAATATCTCGTTCTAAATAACCACTTAATTCTTCTGTAGCATGCTCTAAATCAGCCTGATTTTGTTCGAAAATAATTGAGTGATTATTACGTTTTAAATAGAATGCAAATGGATATGTATACATTAAAGTTTGACGACATTGTCGTAATACTTCACAAGCATTTTGTAAAAATTGTACTTCAATCCATGACATTTGTTGTTGTAATGCTTCCATACGTTTTTGTACTGATTCTAATAATTTATCTTCTAAGCGTAAAGATTCATGATGATTATAATAACGCTTATAATAATGTAAATATCGTTGAAGAGCGGCACGTGAACGTTCTTGTTCATCACGTGCTTTTTTAGCATCATCTTCATTAAAACGATTACAATTATACCATGATGAACCGTGTGGTTCCCATGAACCCAAACATACCCAACAAAATTCATATTTACAATTCAAATTTTTACATATCAAATGATTACAACCACCATTTTTTTCTAAAATGATTAACAGTATGCTAGTACAATCTTAATTTTTTTTATAAATTTAATTAAATCTGCTCATCAGGAAAACGCTGTTCTCCTCAATAACGTCTTTTTGGACCATATTGCTACTGTGCATTACTTACTTGAACCGTTGCGCTTAAAATATCTGTAGAAAAATTTATGTAAAGAAAAACGCATAAGTTTTTGTGAAACTTTTCGTTTTTGGACCACATTTTTATCACTACTTGAACTAAAGCGTTAAAAATATTTGTATATAATTTCTTTATCTTCTGAGAAGAAGTTTCGCCATCTTTAATCCTCTGATGCAAGAGTGAAAAACTTAATAGTAAAATCTAGTTTCTACTAAACTACTCACCTATTGTTGCATGGCATTTTGGACACTCTTTTGTATTTGCTGCAATCTAAAAACGACAACAACAAAAACAAACATGAAAAATTCTGTGTTCTTGCGGTGAATGCATTCTCTAGTGATACTTTTCTCTAAAGAGCGAAATAAGCGACATAAACACATTTATTTCCTCGCTAAATTCTACATTGTCATCAGTTATCTTTTTTCTATGATTTACAGCGTATACATTGAATATAAACTCTATTTAAATTAAAATCAGATCATACCCAATTTGATGTTTCACTATCATCACGGCATTTTTTTTGCCATTTTTTCAACCATTTACATTTGATTGGTTCATGCCACTGTTCCGAACATTGAAAACAAAATGATGTATGACACGATGTACATGTTACTAATTGTGCGTCACAATATGGAGCTTTAATGGCATTTGTACAATTTTTTCCTGGACACCATCTCATGTTTCGATTACATTCCACAAAACTATTTGTTATTAAATGTTGGTATTTTCGTCGTACATCTGGATGGTCAATCAAAGTTAGAACTGTTTTATCATCGACTAAAATATCACATTTAGCCGGACACGAGATCGTTTGTCCAATTCCTTCATGCATTATTTTCGTTGTCAAATAGCATTGCCAACAACTAGTACAAAATATATGTCCACATTCAAGACCAGCCATTTCATGTGATAGTTTTTGAGAACAACATATCACACATATTTGTTGGTCTATTTTTAATGGATTTATGATGATAGTTGATGGTGATGCTGATGCAGTTGTCGTTGAATTTTGTCGACGTGTATGTCGTTGTGAGGGTATATGTGGTTGTTGCTGTTTTTTAAATGGATTAACAATACGTGCTTGACGAAACAGTTCCTCTTGATGATTTGGATCATAGAATCGTTCCATTAATTTTTCTTTGTCCCAACGAAAATGATGTAATAATAAACGAACAGTTGTGGATGGTAATTTAATAACTAAAATCAACACGAAAATGTTTTGTTAAATGTCAAATTTTAAATTGATGAAAACAGCTATGCGACCTGTTTTCTCCGCTCTTACTCTTCTCTTAAACTAATAGGACAATTCATACCTTCATTCACTTCTTTAATGCATTCAACCATATATTTACAAATTTCTTCTTGAGTTAAAACAACATATTCAAAATTATCTTGTTGATGTGTGTCAGCTGGTAACATTGATCGTTCACCTGATAAGTACTGTTTTGGACGTTTTGATGATTGCAATGGATTTTGAGACGATGTTGGAGGTGTAACAATTGGCGTAGAAGGTTCAAATGATGGATCAATGTAATAGTGATCATCATTGTCGTCGTCGTCTTCGTCCTCTTGATACCGTTCATCATCGCTACTCATGTTTCTTTGTTATTTTATTAACAAAAATATTTGTTTCTGTTTTTCATATAAATCGTGTTGTACGTAGGGTTGATATGACGACCAATAACAAACGAAAAGCGAAAAAAATAGATAGAGATTCGTCGAATTTATAAATAAAACAAACAATGAAGTTTTTTTGTTATGATCTTTTAATTTATAAATATCTAAGTTAGAACAGATATAAAAAACATAGATCTAAAACAAAAACAAAAGTACACGCATGGATATCGTAGGCAAAAAACTCTTGCGCGAATAAAAATGCATATCATTAAAAAGAAATATTAACGTTAAACAAAGGTTCAATGCTCTGGATCATTAAGCATGTGATATAGACGAATTTAAATTGGCACTACTTATAACTAGAGGTGTTAGCCACGCCGCTGAAAAAAAGTTTTGAAATTTCTCGCCGCCGCCGAAAAAAAGTCTTGAAATTTCTCGCCGCCGCCGAAAAGTTTTGAAACTTCTCGCCGCCGCCATACACAGAATTTGTTTTTGAAGTTTTCTGCCGCCGCCGCTGATCTGAAACTTTTTCAAAACTTCTTCGAAGAAAACTTATTGAAAATTATAACTTTTTTTTCAAATTTTCACGCCGATAAAGTAATCGGCTAACACCTCTACTTGTAACTATATTCTTATCAAGACAGTAACGCTCATTTTTGACTTAGGGAAAAGCTGAAACTATTTTTTCCATTAAAAGTGAAAGTAAAACCACGTTAAAAACACGGACCTGTTAGACTGAAAAAGTAGATGACAGAAAATTTTTCTGTCAAATGATAAAAATGTAAACTCCGTTCTCAAGACTTTAGAACAGAAAGTCAAGGTCATCCGATGCGTATTTTTATAAACCTACTCAAGATAGAGACGAAAATAAATACATATGAGAATAGTAAACAGTTTAAAAGCTTAAAAAAATCGGAAGATCTGACAGTTCTCCATAAACAGTTTAACTCAATTTGGTTATGATACGTGTACAAAAAACTGGTAGACATGAAACATTAATCAGATCATAAGAAACTACGATCAAGTGAAATGTCCATAAAAATATGGTTTATAAGTTGAAAAATTCATTTATATGAGTGAAAAGGAGAGATGATGTTACGTTATACTTTTCTTCAAGAGAAACAGTCATATGATGAAGTTTTAATTAATGATTTCCTCATTATTCTGCTTTAAATTTGAAAGGGACTTTTTCATTGTTGCTGAGTTTAATAACATAAATTGGCAAAATTGCAAGTAGTTATAATAAAGTAGAAAACAAAGAAGTTAAGTTTTTTCAGTGCAAAAACTGAACATCGAGACGTTCTCAGATCAATGTTTGTAACGAGAGTATAGTACAGTACATCTTTATACGTATTTTATCGCTGAAAATTGAACGCGTATTCAATTTTTCATTGTTGCATTTTGTCATTAAAAACACTGTTAGCAATCATGTTCTTTATGCGGTAAGTAACCACAGACAAAAAGAGAAACAACATTATACATGGGAGAAAACAGTATTATCCTACTGAGAAAAGTATATCGGAATGAACCATATTATTATGTTTGCAGAAGGACATTTTGTTTGCTTTTCAGATTGAGAAAAAATTTACTTTATCGTGTACTCATATAGAGCCTATCACCTGATAGTTTTCATGAACAACAATGATAAGCCTCCGTGTGCTTTTAGAACATTAATACAGTTCGACAATGGCGCCAGTAATCAATCCTACATCATTTGTTTTCTAGAAAATATATAAAAGATTCAATTGTAATATATATAAGATTCAATTGTATACAGTTCAATCTCATCTTGTAGAAACTTGATTCAGATGCTCTTCTGTTATAAACAGAATAAAAGAACAGATGCATTTTTCATCTAGCACAAAAAAGAGTGTTCGTGTTATTATAAATACGGAACACTTAGTATACTGAATAATAACATTTTCCTTGTAAAAAGTGGACTACTATTAAGTGTCCACCATCTGTTGCATATAGAGTACTATTATAAAAAAAGACAACGAAATGCAACAATACGCTACTTTCGAAACAATAGTTCTGTGCAACCAACTGTATGGTGTAATTTTTGGCACCTAATACAGATATTGGCTGTGATGACGACTACCAACGGTATTATTCTAAATATTTTTGTACTAAATCACTGTCACTACAATTTTTTTCTACTATTGTAGTACATATTCAGTTGTAGCAACCAAACATGAATTTCTTCCAAGTTCCTGCCTTATTTTGGTATTTTTGGGGAACTGTACTTTATCTCATTGCAATGATCGGCTATCTTTTCATGGATACGATCGATTTTATGTTCATGGTAGATTTTTCAATATCATTTATCTTATATATCGTACTCGCAATGTTCTTCGTTGTTGATGCTCTTATACATATTATGATTCGATACAGCAGTGACGAACACTTTCATTCAAAATATGGAACATTTATCAGTTACAAAACCGTTGCTGCTTTTGCATGCATTGCTGATAATATTGCTAGTATTTCGTATATGATTGGAGCAATTTTTTCGGGAAATGAGCGATTACTAGATGAAGTTGTATCCTATTTTAATCTGATTGGTTCGGTTGGTTTTTTAATGGAAGCGTGTCTTAGTATGTTTGGGTGGTATATTGTTAAACACAATGAACACTCTGGTGAAAATGATAATCTTCATGCTTATGCATATGGTTGTAGCGTTGTAGGAGCTCTCCTTTACTCGGCAGCTGCTGTATTAAATTTTTTTGTCGAACTAAGAATAGTTCGACTTACACAAATTGGAGGAGACGTTGTGTATCTGATAGATTCCATTCTGTTTTGTGCTTGTTGGTATCGATTAAAACAGAAAATAGAGCTGAAAGCACTAGAAGTGGATGAAGAAGACTATCTTTAAAAAATAAAAAGATTTTCATCTTATTTTCAGTTTCAACTATTAGTTTGATTTTGTGACACTTGTGTTAATAAACGTGTACTTGTCGTCATTCCTCAGCCTTTTCTCGTGTTTTCACATACGAAAAACATCAAACACCTCTCCTTTTTCAGTTTTAAGTGGGAAAACTCGACTCAGAAACGGTTTTAAAAATTCAAAGGTCTCATTTTGCGCAGAATTCATTCGTCTTTCGATGCCGATTACTTCTGGAAAATTCGATTTTCGAAAAGATTTTTCAAAGACCTGGTTTTCTGAAGAACCATCTGATAGCCCTTCAAAGATTCCAAAAGTGGCTCCATCAGATTCCTTGCTGTCTTTTACTTCTAAACCCGAAAGTCCAGCCGTCTCGTGCCAAATCTCTCGTGCCAAATCTCTTATGCCAATCTCGTACCAAATCTCTCCTCAGATGGGTTTGAATACGATACCCAGAACAAAATCGTCAATTAATTGAGGATAATCGGTAAAATCGCCGATTTATTGCCGATTTTGACTACATGGACAGCTTTTGAATTTTTCGAGGTCAATTTACGTACACTATTTTAACTTCAATGGCTGTCGACAGTTTTACTAAGCATTCTATCATTTTTTTTTCTTCACATAGTGATGTTTGTTCTGAAAATTTGAGTGAGGTTCGCAACGAAAATATCTATAGACAGTTAATAAAAAAGTCCTGAAACAGTTATCCAACATAGAAAAACTTTGAACAAATAGCAAAAAGTAATGTATATCTCCGAACAAAATTACCGTTTATATCATAAAACTAGACTAATATTTAATATAAATTTTAAAATATTTTTCATTACTTATTGGATCATCGTATTGTTTCACTTTCGCAATTTTCATTCGATAGCCAGGCTGTAAAAGTACTTCCTGTTCATGAGGATAATACGATAGAGATGTTATGTCACTTCTAGTATTAGTTGGACAAGATCTACCTTTGATTTGAATAATAAACAGTGTATTTCCACGCTGTTCAATCATTCGACGATTTTTTGTTGTCGATGTGAAAGTGAACCAGGTAATATGTGTACCAACTAACTGTTTATATTCCTCAATCAGTTCATCCGTTAAATTTGCACATCGATAGACAGTCAGATTTACCTGATTGTCGTCTCTTGAGCAAAACAAATGCATTTGTAATAGATAACAGTAAGCACCTAATGTATCAACTTTACTCATGTCATGACTTCTCATACTCGAATCCACCAATTTGTACAAAAATGAATCAGCTGTGTATAGACGTACAGCGCATTCAAAAATTTCTTTCTTCGATTTGTCTTTTACTCGTTGTAGTTGATCGATAATTAACTCAGCTTCGAAGTCTTGATTCACTAATCTACCTTCTTCCATAATACCTAGAAAAAGAATGTTTTTGATAGTTAGATGAAGAAAGAACTCAACTAAGTTCTTACCTTCAGCAGCTTGTTCAACAATATCGGGTAACTGTAGTTTACGATTTCTCCTATTCCATTCTGATATAAATTCAGATATATCACCCTCATAATCACCAAAGAATATTGCTGGATGTGGTTTTTCTATATTACAACAAAATCGTTCATTTCTCAATATTGTGTGTTAACATCATCAACTTTCTCCCGTTTTATAGGTCGCTGTTGATTGTTTCTATTAATCTGCACTTTGCGTTTCACATCAATAACAGAGTCACCTAATTGGCTGTTCCTTCGTTGTTTATTGTTTTGATATGCATTTTCGATAAAGTCATTTTCAAGATCAGAGTAATCGTTCCAGATTCCTGGAGTCGATTGGTATGACCAAATGACTTTCTTATTCTTCGTTAACGACGTCGAAGTTCTCGTTCTTGTGCTGCATTGTATACCCATTTCCGAGCTGTTTGTGCTGTATTAAAACATGAAAATCTAAAATCTTTCTTTATTTCATTAGCTCAAAATCGAATGTTTACTGCCTTTGACCGCCGCGCTTAGTCTTAAAGTTACGTTTTATCTGTACTTGTTTTTTCCAAGCCTTCGAATGTTGAAATCAATTTTCTAAACGAACTTTTTTACGCTTGTTTGTGAAAAGAATGGCATCGATGTTATTTACACGTATGCCTTTCTTTTTGGTCTTATCTATGTGTTTATGTTTACCTACGCTAGTAAATATACTTGGTACAAGTACAGGATTACTTGATGAGTAGTTGGAAAGTACATGACGAGTTAAGCATTTGGCAAGTACTTCAGCAAGAACTTGTCAAGTGTCGTTACATCAATCATGTCGGTTACTCAATGAAAGTAGTTACGAGTCAATTGTAGTATACCCACTGGTACAATCACAATCCGCCACGAATCAAAAACAATTTATTGAACAGGGCAGTGTATTCTTCTCAACAATCGCAGCTGAAATATCACTCACATTTTCATCATTAATCTATGTGATTGATACCAGTGTGGTCAACGTGCCGATTTACAATGTGAATATAAACAAAAAAACTGTACAGAAAGAAGTACATGCAGCTGAATCAACGATCAAACAGCGTTTAAACCTAACAAAATCCGGTGAATACTACTCATTATATGATTTTAATGTGGATGATAAATTGTACCAAACCCCCACAAATATGTCAGACAGATTTAATTAATTTACAATTCTCGATGCGGAAATCACTGTTGAAACAAGGCTTAGATTATTTAAAACAATTTCTACCAAATTCACCAGATCAGAAACAGATTCAATTAGCCATTGCTGAGTTAATAAAATTCAATTTTATTAATTTACCTGAGATAAGTTAATGAGGTGTAGTCGAGAAGGAGAGAGCAAGCATAGACAGTTTTGTCTGATACGAAAAAAGGATGCGTTTACACCGCGAAAACCGAGATCGTTGGTGACAAAAAAACTATAACACTCACATTAAGTATCTATCTCCCGGGTCTTCTTCTACAGTGGTGGAAAAAACTATTTATACGATTAGTATTTCTATGCTAACTTTGTAACCATCAGGTCTTTTAGAATTTGATAAGTGCCAAAAGAATCCTCTGTTGTTCTACTATACACACAAAAATTTTCAAATGACTTGGCCTTTTACTCTCAGAGATATGATGTAAAGAATACAAGGTGTACTCATATTTTTTGGGGAAAAAATTATTCGTACGACTGTTCAAAACTTTTTTTAGCGTACGAGTCGAACAAGTTAAATTCACATTTTCTGAGAGAAGAGAAAGCAGACTATTTTTTGGTAAAAATAGTTTTTCATAAGCCTGGGCCGGCAATGTCGGCTTTAAGATGACTACTATATACTTTTTATGACCACGCTTTTCTCACAAAATGGAAAGGTGAAAATTTTTGTCTAACATACCATTCGAAAGAGCGTCGAAAATTGAACAAGACAGACGACAAATGCAAACTTTTCGGATAAATTTCAACCATTTTTTCGATCATTAACATTTTCACCCATCTTACGTTACAAGTGATTCCACTTTTTTACATTTAGTATATAATATTTTTGGAAATTAAAGTTATATTTTGAATCAGCGACGAAAACTGAGTCGAACTAAATACATTTTGCTAGTAGTCCAACAAATTCGTTTTCGTTGATAATCAATCATTGTCAATGAAGTTATCACATGCAACCAATAGTTTCTTTTGTCTGAGAGGTTACAAAATGCATTTAGTTCAACTCAGTTTTCGTCGCTGATTCAGAATATAACTTTATTTTTCAAAAATATTTGTTTCATGTTGTTTGATTGTGACGATTTATATAGATAGATAGAAAAGAAGATAAATAAAATAAATAAACAAGAAAATGGAAATATAATATAGAAAAAAAAGGTGAAGAAGAGGAAGAAAAACGTTCTGAGACAAGAAGTGGATCTCTTTTCGAATAAAAAGCCGTATTAAAATGCATAGTAGAGAAGATTTAAAAGATTCTCAAATTTTGATGGAAATCAGAGAATATAAACAAAATGTCAGAAGAAGAACCGCTTTGTTTTATATGTTTGTAAAGTAAGTTAAAACTTGATACAGCAGACTGCTGAAGGAGAACTTTCTCAAAACACATTCTAGTCGACAAAAACATGTATTCAGCTGTTTTTTTTGGTAGAAATGCGGAAAGTTGTATGCAAAGTGAAGAGAGTATTTTCATCAAGATTTTACGAGATAGCTTTTGTAGTGCGGCAATGTGAGTTTTTGTACAAAATAAAACGCACAACCATAAAGGGGTCACGAATCGAGAATAGACCTGGCGACCGACTCGGAGCTGAATCTATCGCTTCAGACGGGAGAGGTTCTTGTAGGAAACTTTGAAGGAAATGTGAGATATTTTGTGCGATGATCGGCAATATGAAGGATTGAATATGATATAACAGAGACTGATAATTCATGTTCTTTTATTAAATATCAAGAATACGTTGACTAAGTATTTGTTGTCGAATTTGTTCAATTGTACGTTTCGGTATAATTTCTTCTTGCGCTTGCTCAACTTCCACCAATTTTTCATTTGGTACGACAACGAGTTTTCGTACTTTTTCAATCTTCTGACGTGACAGAACAGTAATTTCTTCCATTTTTGGTTTATCCCATGATTGAACTATACTGCCATCCCACGAGAAATCAGCTTCTACTGTCACGCTATTACGATCGTTCGAGTCGATCTTTGCTTCGATAGAATCGAGAAGATGAATATCATCAGGGGATTTAGTGAGAGAGACACTAAGAGCTCGATCGTTAAAGGTTACTTGTCCGATCTGTGTTTCACAAACTCTTTCGCAGAAAGCTTTATGATCAAGACCGTTACTCGGTATTCTGGCCAGTAGAGAAGCAATATTTCCTAAAGTATTATTCGGGAAATGCATGTCCTTTAAAATGAACTGTTCATCGATCTGGATACAATTTTGTTTTCATTTCACCTGGTATTTCCTTTTTAATTGGTTCATCGTATTGTACAGTAATATGATCTCCACTTCATGTGTTTCCGAACAATTTTGTAATTCTTTTTTAGCATCATGCTTTACAATTAACTTATTTTCCTTTGCTTCATACAAAATAAGTGCTTGATCATTGATTTCCTTTTCAATTTGTTTTAAACTATTTTGGACATTAAATCCATTGTATTGTGATATAGCAGCAAGTAATTTTTGTTCTTGATTTGAAAATGGTGTTATATTTGACCATTCAATAAATTTCATATTCCAGTTCGAGTGTTCATTCAATGTAAGAATATTTGTTCGAATACTTTCCATCTTTTCTTTCTTAGAATTTGGTTGCAGTTCACCACCTTTTGTTAATAAAAAAAGTGAATTTTGTTTAACATTTTGCACATTCAAATATTGTCCAAGAAAATCAGCGAATTTCTCATAAAAATCCGTTCTTGCATCCATCATACTAATAACAAATATTATGCATTTCACATGTAATTTATTGAATATACAAGGTTTTAATGGTTCACGTGGGAAACAGAATTCGTCAAAAATAACTTCAATCCATAGTGTGTTGATTGTAGAACTTTTACCAGCGCCACTGACGCCAAAAAATATGCAGACTTCATCATTGCTTGCAGATGCCATCTGAAAGATACTAACACAACCTTTGTGTCGTGCCATCATCGATTAATTTTGGATATTATTTCTATCGGCATAGGATCTACGGCTCTGGCAACATTCATCAGTAATACCGTTCGGCTTTCTTCTCTCCGTCGTCAGGTGGATACTGTTAAGTCCCTTTTAGAGGACATCGCTCCGGTTGGGAACATCACTACTGCCCATATCGCTTTTCTCCAAGCCGAAACGCTTTAGGATCGGCACTGCAAGCAAGTCAGGAAGCTCTTAACCGCACTATCCAAATAATCACCCAGGTCGCAGGAAATGAGACATAAATGAGACATGTATGGCTCATTTATGATATGAAGTGAAAATGATCATATTATAATCCTAAAATGATTTAAATATGAGCTTAAAATGATATCATATTTGAGTC